AGCCAAGAATGTCAAATATGTCAACCAATTCGAATGCCACATGATCAATTTGAATTATTATCTTTTTTACCTGATTCTGAAATTTCTGCAGGTAAAATTTTATAATAAACTTTTAAATTTTTATTTTATTAATTTTAAAAATACTTTTTAATTATATAGACAAAGAACATTATAAAGAATTTGATGAATTATACGGACAGTTAACTAGTGAAAAATACAGATTATTACATCAAGAAATTTTAAATGAAGAATCTCAAGTTGGTATCTTTATAAATACAAAAATTAGGCTTTTGATTTGTTGTGACTTTTGTGGAAAGTATCGTTGCATTTATAGTAATACAGCTTTAGGTGAAGAAGATTCTCAAACAGTTGTGCAATATTTTGAAAATATATCCTATAGTTGTGGATCACCAATTCTTCCAGACAGTCATCCGCTTTTTAATCAACTTCATATACACCAAAATATTACTTGTGATTCACCTATTGAACGAAATTATTATTCAAGCCGTTTGAAAGATGTTGATTTATGTTACTGGTGTGGAGCTGAAGATGGTATTATTGATCCATCTGATGAGTTAAAATCAGAATTTAAAACTATCTATCCATTATGCGCTTCATGTTATGCTAATGGCCATGAATGGTCTACTTGTGCACCAATTGTATTTCAAGCAAACAAAAAAGTTCGTACTTAATATGAATAAATCAATAAATATTGTCATTTATATGGGTTAAATAAAATTTTACAATTACGTTTACTTATAATGTTTGTTTAAATTTCCCCCTCCTTCCCTGACTAAGCCAAAAATCTTGACATTAACCAACTAATAAACTTTAAGCGGCCTAATTACTAAAGCAACTTTATTATATAAGTACTATACGTACTGTACGTACTGTACGTACTGTACGCTAAAAAAATCCGAGTATCATATAAATGGCGCATCACTAGTTCTAAATACATGGACATCCGAATTTTTGATCATCCGAAGTTTTATACGAATTTGTATAAAACTTCGGATGAAGTTTTTGCTGCGGAAATTCGGATTATCGAAATTCGGATCATCGTGAGTCAACCAGTAATAAATCTCATTAAGAAAATATTCTTTGCAAACTGCCCCTGAAAATCAAGAATAAGATTTGGGTAACGTAGGATTTGAGTAAATTTAGACGCGAAAATCAACAAGATTTGGATATTTCGGACATGATAAATTTTTTCGATTCTTTCAACTGTATTTTTTATTTATAACGATCTTGTTTTAACTAATGTTTCATTGATGATTTTGGTGGTTATGCCAGGCGAATTAAGTGTAACAATTGTATATAAACGGGTTCTTTCTTGAAATAAATCATTGCAATCCAGTTCAAAATACATATTATGATTGCTGATAAAATACGTGTGTATCCTTAATTTAACCGATTTTAAAAGATTTATTTTTTTATCCAAATTTTTTAGCAAATCACATTCATTTTTTTGCCAAATAAGTCTTCCGGTAACTCTGATAACCACCATTCGAAAGAATCAAATCTAGTATAGATCACACCTACTTTAACGATATTTAATATTTGATTCAAAGTACTGTAAATTATAACAAAAATAACGAATTGCTAATTACGTTTTTCACTGTAAAAAAAAGTATTTAATATTGGAATATTCACTTTAGTTAATGACGGGATCTATTTTTTTTTCTTTATTATAATATATTATAAATTATTACAATTATGAAAGTCAAATTTTTAGTTGATTTGTTATTAATTATTTTGGCTTTACAA